CCTGCTGTCGCCACTGACGATTGGTTCCTCCCATATATACAAACATCATCTACCACTGCATATACAGTATAAAGCAGGTTAAAATTTGGGCCAGAAAACATTCCTTTCAGCAGGCTATTGGTTTCAAACAGTGCAGTGTCCGAAGAGCAGAGATGGGCTTTTCAAGGCGAGGATGAGGAAGGCGCCCGGCTCCCTGTCCAGCCACGCGGTCAATGCTGGTGTGCAGCCCACAGGCGAGAGCTTGGGCTGTTACCAAGTCACCGGCGTGGGCTTACGCTGCCGCTGCACTACCGCTGGAGCGGGGCCCATCCCAAACCACGGGGTGCCCATCCAAACTGCTCCCCTCCTTCCCCCACCAGGAAAGAGCACTCTGTGGGTTTCAGCCCTTACCAAAGGCTTCTTCTGAAAAATCCCACGTCTGCTGATGGTGAGACACAGCAGCAAGCACTGGCAGCATGTGCAGCACTGGCAAGCAGGCAGAGACTGGATAATGGCACTTTTACCTTGTACATATAGATGGGGTGAATTTAGAAGCCACCCTTGGCTCTTGCCTGCAGGGCCAGGCTGTAACTTGAGATTCACCAGCCGTGAACTGGGGGTGTTATGGGAGGAGATACAGGGAAGTATCTCCTAGTTCCCCTAGTAGGGCAGAATGAAGCAACACACTGGAAAAATCCTCCCGGCATCCCCACGTAGCAAGACATAGTGCTGGCCTCTGACCCGAATGAACACTCGTGTGCGCTTGCAGCCCAGAAAGCCAACCGTATCCTGGGCTGCATCAAAAGAAGCGTGGCCAGCAGGTCGAGGGAGGTGATTCTGCCCCTCTGCTCTGCTCTGGTCAGACCTCACCTGGAGCACTGCGTCCAGCTCTGGGGCCCTCAGCACAAGAAGGACATGGACCTGCTGGAGCGGGTCCAGAAGAGGGCCACCAAAATGATCTGAGGGCTGGAACACCTCTCCTACGAGGACAGGCTGAGAGAGTTGGGGTTGTTCAGCCTGGAGAAGAGAAGGCTGCGGGGAGACCTTATTGCGACCTTCCAGTACTTAAAGGGGGCCTATAGGAAGGATGGGGGCAATCTTTTTAGCAAGGCCTGATGTGACAGGACAAGGAATAATGGATTTAAACTAAAGAAGAATAGATTTAGACTAGACATAAGGAAGACATTTTTTACAGTGAGGGTGGTGAAGCACTGGAACAGGTTGCCCAGAGAGGTAGTGGAGGCCCCATCCCTAGAAACATTCCAGGTCAGGTTGGATGGGGCTCTGAGCAACCTGATCTGGTTAAAGCTGTCCCTGCTCACTGCAGGGGGGTTGGGCTGGATGATCTCTAAGGCTCCCTTCCAACCCAAAGCATGCTATGATTCTATTCTATGAACCTGTAGAGGCCACAGGGGAATCACCAGGGTTTCTCCAGGGAAAGTCAGCCACAGCTTAATGGAATCGTGGGGACTGCATGCATAGAAGAGAGAGATCCTAACATCCATGCACAATGAGCAGGGACCCCTGAAAGCAGGGATTTTCTATGCGTAATGGAACATATGTGAAGGAGTGTGGGAGTGCCAAGGTTAAAGGGAACTCGCAATGGCTGGCAGAACCACTGCACCTCATCCCAACATGACACAGAAATGGAAAAAAACATCTTACTAGAGGCACACGGTTTCCCAACAGGCCCCAGGCAAAATCTGGGACTACAAACTTCAAAGGAAGAACAGAGCTTCCTTGGCCTCAAGCAGGACGAGAACACTGAGCCCCTGCTTCCCAGGGTGGCCTCAGTCCAGGGCCATGGAGAGAATCTGAAGCCATGTTCTGCAGATGGTCATAAATGTCCCTATTAACAACCACAACACAACAGACAGCCGGGATGCAGGGGACATCCTGATCTCCACTGCTCTGCAAAGTGCTGATGTGGGAATGAACCAATGCACAGACCTTCAAAGAGAAAATTTTATGGATGTTTTTATACACATACACAAATATTTTAATATAATGGTAACTGAAATGTTATCCATATTCTTAGTACTGTCATAATTAACTAAAAAGATATTTTTTAAATTTTGTAAAAATGACATATTTTACACATCTTCTATTTACAATTGCAATATACTTAAATGTTATAAAACATCCACTCTGACCTTTAAAATATATGTATACTAGGACTTAGTATTAGATATATTATAATTTATAGCAAACTTAGGGTTTGCTGTGTACCTATCTGTTCAATGGGAATTTCATAATCAGCCTGGCTTAATAAAGGCTGCTCAAAACCAAAAATCAACAATAAAAAAAAGATAGGGAATGTGCAAATAGTGGGGCAGGCAAAACCAATAAAAGCAATATCAAGCTTGCAGTTTTAAAAAATAACACCGTGAAGACTTCCAATAAATTAAAATTATAACCCACAAACCCTTTTCCTGGCATTGTCCGTGATCACATTAATTTTCAGTACTATTAACCTAAAAGGAAAAAAAAAAATACCCCAAACAACAAAAAAATCCCCCAGCCACCCCAGGTCTTCCCAAGGCGGTGTGTTCCCCATGCCGCAGTCAAGCATCAGGATTTGCCGGGGTGGTTGCTGCTGGCACAGATGAGCTGGCTCTATTGATGACTCGTGAATAAGTGCGCTCCATTCCTTGCGGTTTTGCCGAGTCCTCCTTGTATGCAATCTTTTCATAAAAAAGAAAAGAGTGAGAGAGATCTGAATAGTTTTGTGTCTGAAGTGTTCATTGTCTAACCAAGGATTTCCCATCTTTTATTTATTACACAATGATGCTAAAGATCTGACTGAGGAAAAGGACTTTGCCCAGGGACCCAGAAGTGACCGGAGGCTGCAGTGAGAGGGAAGATGTCCTCTGGGCTGGGGGATAAATGGGGCTGGGCTGGGGTCACTGGCTTCTGCCAAGCAGGGCTTCATGGGGTTCCCTGAACTATGTTTCTCTAACAACTCTCATACAAACACAACTGAGAAGTCACCTACATTTTATAAACTCAGCAGACACCTGCACTAGCACCTACTGAACTGTCGTACAGACCAGCCCCAGCTCTGCCCACACAGTCATTCAGGGCATGCAGCATCCCCACTGAGCTTCACACGCACAGCAGCTGAAAAAATACGTCCATTAGGCAGGATTTGGACCAATTGCCAGGCTGAGGCTGTAGGCAGAGCTGCACTTTCAGGGAGGAACAGTGGCAAAAGCTTGCTCTGCCCTGTCATACATATAGGCTTTAGCAAGAAGAAAGATTTTTTTTTTCTGAAGAAGCTCTTTTTAGCCTTGGTAATAGCTATCTTTCTTTCTTACTTCTATAAATATAGACTGAAAACCTGCCTTCTTCCATGGTGCACTATGCTGAAGCATCCACAGTGGAGACATGGGCCATCCCCACCGACCACACACAGCTGTCAGCGGTGGAAGGGAAACCTCCTCCCTTCACAAAGCTCCAGGTGTAATCTTATGCCATCAACCCCCAGTTATCCCTGGTCGGGGTTGCAGGTCAACCACACCACATTTATTACTTGGGCAGACGTGACCACACTGCCTCCACGTACAGCTGTAGTGCCCGAGCCCGCAACTCGGGCAGCTCCGGGGAGGAGTTGCTCCCACACCGCAGGCTGGAGGAAGAGCACCAGGACTCCGGCACTCCCTGGCAGCGCCCAGCAAAGCCAGGGAAGCTGCAAGGAGAGCAGGGCAGGACGGCGGAGCGCAGGCAGGCTGCGGCACACACTGTCTGCCCAGACTGCTGACTCCACCCAGCTGCGACTCAAATCCAGCACTCTCCCCCGGGGTGTCAGAAGAAGAGAGCTTGGGGCAGCTGCTGTTCCACTGGGCCGTACCAGTCCTTCCGAACCACGTGCATCTGGGTTTGCACACCCTCCGCTGCACCCCAGTGTGGCTTCTGCCTGCATCCCAGCACACGGCCATGAGCAGCACGGTGGGCAGGGCTGTGAGAAGGGGACCACACTCATGGGACAACGGTGGCTTGGTTTAATTGGTACCTTCCTATGCCATTTGTCCCTAGCCCTTCCATCCATCCACTTTTGCTACTACTGGCACATGCGTTTGCATTAGGAGGCTCTTGTTGAGCTGCCCTGCTGACCTCCCCAAGTTCACGACTAGGATCCTAAAGAACATACATCTCAACGCTGCTCATGGACAATACATCACATGTATATCTTGTCTTCTTTTTTTTTTTTTTTTTTTTAAATTCCCTGAGCAAGGGAGTCATCAGACATGAAACTAAACAAATGTACCAAGTAGAAAAACCAGCAAGTGAGGAAAGTACATGACATTAAAAGAAAAAATAGATGTAAGAAAAATGAACATACCACTTTTGGCTATAGTATTGAGGGAAATGTTAGACAGGGAAGAAGAGAAGCTGTATAAGCAAGGACCATGACAGAGCTGTCAGAAAAGAAAAACAAAACAAAACAAAACAAAGAGAAAAACATGTGGTGATGAAAGAGTCACTGTCAGTGGGTAAGCAAACAAAACACTCTTGAATACGACAATGGGAAATATGGTAAATCTTACTGGTGTAAAGCACACAGCACAGTTACAACAGAGCCTCAAGCTTTCCAACTGCGAGATAAATGTTTCAGCCACAATTTACAGCATGTGATTTCTCTCAGACAATGCTCTGCTCAGACGTAGGGAGTTCATGCATTCATTCCAAGAGGAGTAGAGTTTTCCCAAAAAGCCACACTGCCTGGAAAACTGGGCTGTCACTTATAAGGCTGCCCCATAGGGCTGCAAATGGCAGACTGGTTTTCAGTGTGGACTTTCAAATTCAGATGATTTTGGTTAAACAGATGACAATTTTGACTTTTGCTGGATGAACTCTTAACTTTACATATTAACATTGCTATGTACACGTAATTTTAGTCTTTTCATTTACGTGAAGAAAACTCAAAGCTCACTGATATAAATACAGCTGTGAGTATTTAATAGAAGTCATCAAATATTTTACGAATGCTGAAACTCATAGGCTGCTCATGCCTCATTTAAGTTGATCATACATTTTCCATTCTTGTGGGGAACAGTAGTTCACACAAGACATATGGTATTGCCTATGCACATTGACTGGATGGCCAAAACAACTTCCACAGGAGAGGCATGAACATTGAGTAACAAATGATACCCTTAATACTTACACACTTAATGCAACAAACAGTGATAAACATTAGTTATGATAAAATTACTGGAATGCTTGAGGTTCACAAATCTTTATACACCTAAACAGGAAGGGAGAACAGAACAGCAACCACCACTGAGCTTGACCCCCACCTGACATATACCAAGCCTTCAAAGCAATCACACAGCTTTACACCCTGTGAAAAACTAGCTTGATTCCACAGTAATAATAACAATGGGTCAAAGATTCTGGTAAATCCTTATTCTCTTCACACATGAATATGAATAACAGGGCATCGTCTAATGGGGTGCCAATTAGACACTTCTGTGAGATGCCATCATTGATACCAATGGTTAAACAAAGTAACTCTGTACACAAACAGTGCCTGTGTGCTATAGCCAACTGGAAATGCAGTGCAACTGCTAGAGAATAAGTATTTCTCAGGTGCAAGCTAAGGTAGCCTACGCACAAGCATGCAGAGAAATAATTAAGCATGATTTGATTTGCACTTTAGTATGCAGAATCACTCAATATTTAAATTAAAACAGAAAACATAATAAAAAAAAATATCTGCAATAGACAGAGCAATAGAATAGCTGCAAGTGTGCACTGAAGTCCAGTTCAGTATTTTGGGATGCATTTCATATAATGGAGCCATGTACACTCATCCTTCTGAAGCTGCTAACAGCTGAAATAGAGTTTTAACATGGCATGTATTTTGACAGTGTACTTAAATATTAAAAAAAAAAAAACAAACCAAAAACTCTTGCTCTGAAAACTGAATACAAATAGAAACTATAAAGATATCTCCTCCAGTTATAAGCTAGGTCTTAAAAGCAATTTACTGTTTTAATTAAATACATCACAACTGTAGGATAAAGCAAGCAAAGCACAAAACACTAGTTTAACTGATTATCTTTCTACACCTCTAGACCTCAGTCTGCATTTAGCCTCATGAACATTCAACTTTTCAATATATAGCAAGACAGGTAAGACAACAAATCTTTGTTGATCAATCAGTTTCATTATATATAATACAGCTGGATTAAAAAAAAAAAAAGAGGGGGAAAGGGGGAAAAAAAAAAAAAAAAGGAGTAAACTCTGCTTTCTCAGTGACTGTTGCACTGCCAGGTTTTGCTTCTAGTATTTTGCTCTACAGCTTCATTTGCCACTAGAAGACACAATTAGCGATCCTCATTCAGCCCAACCAGCACCAAAATAGATGATCTAACCTGTTCATTCATAACTGCAGACAGCTCACTGAGCATATCCTTATAATGAGACTTCATCTCTCCCTGGTATTCAAATTGGTCCTCCTTAATAAGGCGTTCGTTGACATCAAGAGCATGTCCACACGCTTCTGCAAATTGCCTACAAGCACAAAGACACAAAGAACAACCATGCAAGTTTTGCAGCAATGAAAAATATCTATCTATACATATACACACACTACTGTACCTCTTCTCCCCCTTGAAAATTAGACCTTGTTAGAAGTGAATTTCAGAACTCGTCCTCAGATCAAGAGGAACGTAGGCTACTAGGATAGCCCAAAACTTCAGTAAATGTTTTCTTGGGAATGACTTGTAAGATAGGGTAAATGCAGATGTAAATTAGCCTGGTTCAATTCAGCCTGATTTCCCGTCACACCTATTCACGCTATTCATACTATCACAGAGGGTGGAAAGTCTAAATTTAATGTTTACCTGAAAATTTCCTTCAGAAGCTTAACTTGATTATCAGGGTATCTCTTAGCATTTGTCTCTTCAAGAAAAGCTCGAGCGTAGGCCATTGGTCCAGCATTTACCTCGGGGAAAAATACACAGCTTAGGTGCAGAGAACAAGCAGTTTATTCTCATTTTCTCTTGTGTTCCACGGCTTGGGGGCTGGCCTCAGACAACCAAGCCTGTGTTAAGAGCATCACTCCTCTTGTCACCTGAATGGAACCTGAAGTTTTACTGAGGAAAAGGAGCTGGTCAGACTTGCACAAACTGCAGATCTCTGTTGGCTTTGAAAGTCCTTGGCTAGTTAACCATCTAGAAAGCTATATGTTTGAAGACATTTTAATGAGGGCACCAGAAATACATGCACCCCTCACCAATCCCAACTTTTCTAAATAGAAAATGACAAAACTAATCCTAGCAAAGCTCCCTTTAAAGTATCTGCATGCTTGTCTGTGTGATGGGCTGTATTCTCAAGTGACATGTGATGGTCTTGTTAGAAAGGTCTTAACATTTATTTAGAGAAGATTTGACTGAAATAGTTATATTTGCACATAAATCCAGCAGTCATCAAAACTTCCCATTCCTTTACATCTTCAGAGTGGGCTCCAACAGCACTGGAATACAAGATATGACCAGAAATATAAAATAGACAAAACATGTCTGGAATGATGAAAATCACAATAAAAATTTAGGTAGATGCATTGAAAAAAAAGAAAGAAGGAAAAAAGGCAAATTGTCATTACCTTGACACTGACGCTTCCTTGCAGTTTGAGCTGTAGCCGAATCATGTCCACTTCTTCCATTGTGCAAAGCTGATTGAGCTCTGAGACTTTTTTGGACATCTCATCAATCGCTACTTCGATAGGGTTCAGCTCTGTGCTGGTTTGGCTTATGACTTGAATACGCTTCTTCACATAGGGAAACAAGTGACTGGCTACTCGAAAGCAAGAAATGTATCAGAGAAACTCACCCAACAAGACAGTATTTAAGAAAGCAAAACAGTTAAGTTGACGTATGAACATCTGACTTTGTCAATCTCTTTATCATCTATACAAATTAAGCTTTAATCACCAAAAAAACCGGGTAGATGTGGCACTTCGGGACATGGTTTAGTCTAGTCTACCCTTAATTGGTTTAGTGTGGACTTGGTAGTGTAGGTTAATGGTTGGACTGGATGATCTTAAAGGTCTTTTCCAACCTAAACGATTCTATGATTCTATGATAATGAGTGAAAGTGACACAGCAGGTCCAAAATTAATTCTGATGTACCTGGCACTGGAAGAGCATTTCCTTTGGAATTCACCACTGTTTGCTACTGAGCTCTGTCACATCCACGTGGCAAAAAGCTCTCACCACTCAGATTTTAGAATCCATAAATTTCTTCTTCTGAGTTAAAGCACCAAATGATAAGCCCTTACCAAACTTTGAACAGCTCAAAACATTCCATCAAACATGTTTCAAGTTAGAAGCAGGAGCCTCTAGTTTAGCTGAATTGTGTATTGCTCGCCCACAGATGAACTACTGTTAAAATATCACCCTTAAAGAAGTAACCAGTTACTTTTAGTATTCAACCTAAATACTGCTATGGGAGCTGACGGAGGAATTATTCATCATTAAAACACCTTCCTTCCAGTCAAGGCTTTTTCACAAATCTCAGAGAGTTTGGCAAAGGTACAGTTACGGTGCATGAAGCCTGTGCTAAGCTAACAGTCTTTTCCTAATTGCCCTACACACTTTGGAAGGCCTCCCAAACTCTGTGTATGCCCTCCTCCGGTGAGCATCTGCTGCCCATCAGCTCAGATGTAAATGAACTCCAGCTTACAGGGTGGCTGTCTCCTTGGAGAGCAGGAAACCCAGGACTTCCAGAGCTGGAAGCACGAGTCACAACCAGGCACGGCAGAGAGCCAGTGATCCACAGACCGCAGCCAGACTGCACTTGTCCTCAGCACAGCACAGGCAGCAGACTCTGGAGCACAGATGCTGAGCCGGTACCGTTCCAGCCACCCAGCACCTCTGCCCAAGCACAATTAACTTCCACTGCTCCTCCAGTCATAACCGCAAGCCTTGCTTTCTTCTCAAACTCAAAGCACTTCTTTTTATGTAGGAAGCAAATGAAAATATATGACTTTATCGAAAGGGGAGGGGGGAGAAAAAAAGAAAGATGTTTCCTTTAGAGAAAAGCACTGAGGTCAGGCAGGTGCCAGAGGGAAAAGCAGGGGAGAAGAGAAGGTCATCAGACTCCCACCTAACACCGAAGATGGAGCCAGGCTGAGAGGGGTGGGAGCTAACAACAGCATGTAATAACCTAGGGAAAATGTTCTGCTGGAAGAACAACCCTCTCTGTTTTTGCCAGACATACCATAACAGCTGCACTTTCAAGTCAGTGAAACTACCTGCTTCAATACAGATCTCAAAACACCTACTGCTGCTCAAGCACTTAAAAAAAACCACACACAAGCTGCTACTCCTTTCTTCTTCTTCTTCAAGCAAAGCTGTGCCATGCAACAAGATGCCCCCAGACATCAGTGCCTCTTTCCTGACTTGCCAGAACAAAACTTTTAGGAGACTACGCCTGTACTGTAAGCAGCTTTCTTCACTTTGCCCTTTGGGGGAAGCAGATGCACTGAAGTTGGTGGGGAACTGGGTTTTCTGTCATTCAGGAGCCTTTGCTGTAAACATCAGCTTCTCTGCTCAAAGCTGCCGGTGAGAACACCACCTCCATCTCAGAGAGTTTCCCTTACTCCCAGCCAAAATTCAGACAGGTCAGGTTTCAGCAGTAGTTTCATGAAGGATGCCTCTTTAAAAAGAGATTTCAGTCATGATAAGGAACTAAACATTTTCTGTTTAATGTGACTCAGTAAGAACAGACATAGCTAGTGCTCCTGACATTCCTGTCTTAAAACACTGATTGTGCCCAATGAAATGAAATCTTACCTCTCACTTTAAAAAATTCTATATAATGTATCTTACTCCCATTTTGAACAAAACTTTGTGTCTGCTAAGTTTTACTCTTCTTAGCAGAACAGGCACTCTGCTCTGCTTTTTGACTTATTATTAAAAGAACAATGGTTCTGAGTGCTAAGCTGCCTCCAGCAGAACCGCTCCCAAATTACATCACTGCAAGAACAGTTAAGATGTCAATAATAAGGAAAAATAAGACAGCTGATGACTCCACAAATGAAAATAACTTTCCCTTGGATGGTCAGCAGGATCATAAGCACACACATACTTTGCCAATGGACACACTGAAAACATTACTTATCACGCTGCACAACACGCTGTACCTGCTGACTGCAGAAAACCTGGCCCACGAAACACACTGTTGGGCTTGACTGACAAAGGTGGGATGGGAGCGGGGAAGCAGCCTGAGCAAACGTACTTGTCAGGATTGTGCGCCTCTTGCACTGCTCTTCTACACCTCCGTGCTTTTTTCCTGAGAGCGTGAAAGGTGTTTCAAACACAAAACGGTTGATGTTGTGATGCATTTCAAAGTCGGTCTTTCTATCTTCGGCTTCTTTCTCTTCAAAGAAAGGTGTGACATATGTCACCTGGATATACGCATATTTTGGATCTAGATCTTTGGGGTTGACCTGTGTAACAGTGACAAACGTAATAAAATTCTGTTAAGTGTGATGAGCTTCCAAGGCAGTCGTCATATTTCTGATGCTTTTATCTATCATAGCAATACTGATTAAAACTGAGACTTGCAAATGTAATATTCAGACCCCAGATTAATAAAAAGATATTTAACCAAGAGGCCCCTAAGAACAGTGGGACTTTTGAGTACAGCCATTAGCAAAAGTGGATGAAAGCTAAATGAGAGAGAAAACAACCTGCTTCTGTGTTGCAGAAAACATCTGCACGCTCTCTGCAGGCATATGCTGGACTATGCTCTTTTCCCACTGACTGTGATGCTCTGCTATAACATTGTCATTTCCACAAAGCACCTGCCACGCTACAAGGTGAGGGTCTTTTTTTGGTTGTAAAACTAGGTTTACACATACACTCAGTTCACATTCATTCAAAACACAGCTCTCAAAACATGAACTGTGTGCTCATTTCTCCCCCTTGCACAAGAACTGCACGTCTTTCATACCTTGTTGGAATCCTGGATGATCTTCACATTATCTATTCCAAACTTGTCTGCATAAAGTTTCATCAGCCTTTGAGAGATCTCAGACAAGCCGGTTAATTTGGGTTCTTTATAGATATACTCTTTACCTTCCTCTTCTTCAAAAAAACCCTGTTTGGAAAGAAATGGAAGGATACAGTGAACACAACAGGCAGGACAAAGCCTAAACAAGGTGCTTGCATCAGGAATTAAGGTTGCCTGTATACCCACCAAAGCCTCCAGTATGCCATTTCCAGCACCTAAGTTAAAGCTTACCTCTCTCCACTCCTAGCAGACACCCACCTAGAGGCCTGTGTTTATACTGGTCTGGTATCTCCAAAGTTACCCAGGAAATAACTCATACACATTTATTCATGTAAGAGACCTAGCTGTTTAAAGAGATAAAGTACTTTCTTGAGAATGCTGATGTGTGTATGATGAAAAAACCCTAATGAATTAAAAATTGGACATTAAAAATTCTTTAAATTTTAATCATTTCATTAAATTAACTATTTCGGAAGCACTACGCTAACAGAACACAAGTATAACAGCTGTTTGCTGGATGGCCAGCCCAGCTGGGGTGTGTGCAGCACACCATCCCCAGCACATCCTATCTAGGAGCTACGTGTGCAGGCAAAGGTTGGGTACCGCGCAGGGCACTGCTGCCCATGGCGATGTGTGGGGCACTCCTGCCCACAGTGATGCGCAGGGCCATTGCATGGGGAGCACCTGTGAACCGGTCAGCACCTGCTCAGGGCAGCTGAAGAGGAACTCTGGTGGCATCGTGAAAGGCCATATGGAATTGCAGCATTTTCAGAGATAATTAGTAAATTATTTACATTTGAAAAGAAAAAAAAAAAAAAAGACATACAGACTGTGCTCCTTTGCAAAAAAGCTCAATCTTGTTAAGGTCATTTACTTATTATACTGGATGGACTTGGCAGAGCTTTAATAAAAGGCTCCACTGAAGAGCCGAACAAGAACCTGTCAGGCTTCAGAAGAAATGCCGACCGCAGAAAATTAGCATAGCATTGCATCACGTGCAGGTGAGACACTCAACTGCTACATGATGAACATGTACATCAACACTCCAGGAGAAGCTCTCCCAGCTGAGCAGAAAGCAGCAGGTGCCCCATTAACAAGGGCATTTATCCCATCTATCCCAATGCCATGAGCAACACCAGCCCTCCTCCTAGGATTTCATATGGTGCTGCTGAAATCTGGCAGTGTTAACCACTGCAGCTGTACCCAAAGTCTCCTCCTTTCACCTTAATGCAAAATGACCCAAAGGAAAATACTTGAAGCTGCAGGGATAAAGGGGAAAGGAAGACAGCATTAATGATGTCAGACCCAAGGCCCTTTAAGCTTAACACGACGTGGCTTGGACAGCTAATTCTACAATATGCCTAGGCAAACTGCCATCTGTTGAAAAAGAGAGAAGCACAAATGAATATAGCCAAGAGATACCTCCAAAATCTCTTTGGAAGGTACTCATGAAAAATCCAGCCTTGTCATGTTGAAATGTATTTCAACTTCAGCCACTAAAATTATAGGTGAGGCAAATCTTCACAAAAAATGCACAGAATTAAAATAAACTAGCTGTAAATTTCAATGTTTGTTTAGGAAAAAAACCCCTAAGCTTTATTTCAATAGGGATTAACAAATACGTACCTCTCTGGCTTCTCCTTCAGTGAGGAAAAGGGGCAATAAACTTGTCTTTTAATTTGGCAAGTGCCAACAGCAGTGTGGGCATTACTGGAAACCAATGACTAATAGCAGCAACAGCAGCTTGTCTGATAGTATCTTAATCAGTCTCACAGTGACCTTCTAACATTGCAGAATTGTTAACAATATTATCAGTTAAACTCCATAGGCATATGAAGAACTTCACAGGTAATTAGAGAACAAATCTAGAGCTCAAAAGCCGACACCCTATAAACACTTACTGAGTTGGGCAGGCGACTGACTTTCTATTGATTTCACTGAGAAAAGATCTGCAGGATCATAACCTTGTTTCTGATCTTGTTTCCAGTGAAGCAAAACTGCTTTATGTGGGAAAACCTCATTAGTCTCATGCAACCATACCCAAACACGCTACTCAGGATTGCTTCTGTCAAAAAACATCTGCTTTCTGTTACTATTTGAAATTTTCAACAAAAAACTTCATGTTTTCCAAATTAATCACATAGCAAACTAGAATATAGTTCATCCTCTTAAACACTGTGTATGTTTCTGTGTATGTTTGCATGCTGGAACACAGTGTTTACATGTAAGTGCCAAATCTCTGTGCTGATGCTGCATGGCACGCTAAGATGGTATCTGTATTAAAGGCTTTGCTTAAAAAAAATACCTGAAAACAAACAGCTAACAGATTTACTCTTGTCTTTAATGCAAAAGACATCATTTAAGTACATGTTCCCTACAGTATTTCAGCTGACAAGTGACAGGCAGAAGTTAATTGTGAGCTATAAATAATTGTGTCTGCCATATGCTGTATGTCTGGCAAAGAGTATTGAAAGTAAGATTAAATACTTTTTAGGAGCCAAATATCCTCCAATTTTAGGATTTTAAAATATTAAGCAGCCAAGGTCACATTATCAATGCATAGCCCTAGATTATTTTCATACTAGTTGGTTTTGCCCTGCAAGAACAATGCAGGGCAAATGTGTTACAGATGAAAATTATTACACGGAGCAGCCAAACGTAATGGAAGGGAGATGACTTCCTTGACAGTAGGTTATTGGTTTCCACTGAGCTCTGATGTTCTGTGAGTCAAGTTGTGACCTGGGATTGTCACCGTGGGAGTGCTGAAAAGGCCCTTCTTCCTCCCCATATGCCCTCTGTCACAGTCCTTGGAGCTCACAGTAAATCTGACTCAGTAAATCTCTGCCCTTTGCTAGAAGAATACACACCATCCCTGTAGCTGATGTGCCAAAGTAAAGCCTTCTGCTTTACCTGCCAAGAATTATGGCATTTAATAGATCCTTCCCTGTCTGTATCAAGTAAGCACCACCTCCTACGGTAAGCGAGCACACTGCACTTTTTGGTAAGGAAGCTACAGCTGTTTTATCACATTTGAAAAAGGGGGATGCATCTTCCAATCTTCAGATGTAAACCTGCAGTCAGCTTGCTGCTATGCAAACTTGCCCTCCAACTTCTACAGCTTCTTGCACAGATAGAACAAAACCTCAACTCTACCTTTACCTAACACTGCTCTAAAAACAAGTCTTGAATGTCTTTGCTAAACAGCACAATATTAATTTCCAGCTATTCAATATATTTAACAGCTTTTTTTTTTTTTTTCTGAGTTCAAGAAAGATCTTGACTTCTCAAAACATTAATCTGTAAATAAAATCATAAGCACTGGCTAGTGTGGCCACTTGGTGGTGCAATGAGATGTTGTCACCAAAGGCCCTTAACAGTTTGCAGTCTAAAACAGCAGCTGCCATGAGATCCGGCTCTCTGAGCTGGCAAACAAAGCTCTCTGGCAAAACCAACCAACTACATCCTCCCTGAAGACTACATTCATTCAAACCATCCTCCCAGAGGGTCCCTGCAGCAATGCAGTAACCAAATACTGTCTCCACCTTTGCATGAAGAAGAATGGTTTTCAGATGCAGCTGCAGATTTTCTTTTTCCACTAAGAACCCCCAAAATTCTCCCCGCAAACAGCATTTGCAGTTTTCTTTTGTCTTTAATCTTCGTTTTTTGAAGTTTTTGTTTCAGTTAAGAAACACTATTCCATTTTTACAAAACATATATATGTATATATTTATTATTGATAAAATTGACAAAAATTCATAATGAATAAATGCATATGTGTAATAATACATTTTTTATATGTGTGTGCTTACATATGTATCTACAGGTATTTGATAGACCAATGTACGTATAAGACTAAAAAGGAGTCCTATACCTGCACACCAAGCATCCCACACCTGCGTATCGAGTTGCCTTCTGGGGCATTTCCTTTGTATTGGCCCAACCAGAGTGATTCATACTGGTTTACACTGGTCTAACTGTGTAATACTAGTAAAACCTGCAACCATTAGCTTTTGGGAGGAAGTGTGTAAGGTCTGCCATAAGGACAAAAAAAGGGAAATTGCTTTTAATGTTTTAAATGAGTTGGGCACTGAAACTGCTTTCAGCATGGAGGCCTGCAACACTCTTGGCAATGGAAGGATGACAAGGCCCCATACCTTTCCACTTGACCAGCCAAAATGGAAGCAAGTGGCACACAGGGAAAAGGGACTGACAGAAATACAGAAAGGAAACCTTCCAAAGGGAAAACTATGCAGGCACAACTGGTATATGGGAACAGACTGTTCTCTGTTTCTCCTTCCAGGTCAAGCTTCATCTGTAGCTCCCACACCTGCCATGGTGCTTTATGTACTGGTAAGCCCTCCATAATCAGTTCTGCACACCCACTCCTATTTTCCTTGGCAAATGAGGCACAAGTGATACTGATGGGAATGATCTACCTTTAATTATCTGCACTGTGCCATACATTTTTGTCACTATGCCTCTGCAAGGAGCAATACAGAGCAGTCCCACTTTCCACCTGCCACATAACATCTCTTCTGTAAAAGGAAAGGAGGAAGCTGTGCTTGTTTGCATTTAGAGCTCAGTGTCTGGGGGCACCAGGGAACAGACCAAGCAATACGCAGCTATGAAAAAGTCATATGCTTTAGAGCACTAAAGCTGTTTAAATGTAGTTGTCCTTGTGGCACTGGCAGCTGAAAAGTCATTGCACTGTAACAGAGGATTTTAAAGCCAGTTCAGCAGAACTGCTGCAGCTAAATTACCCACTTACAAGTAGCTACCTCTGGGAGAGCCCTGGCAAGAAGTTGCAAGTAGGAGAGTCCCATTTCCCCCTCTGCTGCCCCCATTTTGAGGAAGGACTTGCCATAGCCCTCTGACTCCCAATTTGCTTGCTCCTACAAGGGACTATCAGGCAGGTGGCTCCAACCTGCCCACAGCACTCTTGTTACCACTGCCACACGTCGTAGATTGCACAGGCCAGGAAAGCAGGCTTGCATTCAAACAGCATTAATGCTACACCAGGTTTTTCAACAGAGGAAGAAGGGGTCCAATCCCACTCCCAGTGAAGCTGAGAGAAACACTTTCACTGAGATGAGATGATACAGCATTGGGCCCCATGGTGCACACACAACATGGTGACAGATACAGCTGGGTAATTCAGGTAACTGAACAAACAAAAATTAGTTTGCAGGATGCAGCAATGAATGAAACGATGTTATTTCATCTGCCACGAACCAAAGAATCGAGAGCACAGGGAAGTTAATGTTAAGTAACAGTACAGGGAAGGATGGAGGACATGTGAGGAGAATTAAAAAAAACATGCAAAAGAACTAGACTTACCACAGCCTTGAATAAGAACAAAAGGAGAAAAGAGCAAATTTCTGCATTAAAATCTAATTAGCAAACAGAATGATTCACATCAATCTGTTGTTTACACACCTTATTATTTTAGAGTAAAGGAGATTGTGTGCTTGCCAAAACCAGGTCTTAAAAGAACATGCTGGATTGCTACACTGGTTTGTAGTGGAAGAAAGCACAAAATAATGCTTTGAGGATGCTGAAGCACAGCAGAGGGAATCAAACTACTCTACAGTATATTGCACAGAATCAGAGGTGGCCTGAAAGCAGAAGTCAGAGTCAGAGAGAAACACAACACAACATCTACTGCATACTGCTCTGCTTTAAGCTATATTTGAAGAGAGGGCCATATATCAAAGATGTCTTATCTGTTTTATTTAAGTTTTACCCTGAACAAAACCCGCCCAGTCTCAGTTTTGCTTCATGAAGTCAAGAACTAAAGCTGATGTACAGGTCTGTTCTCCATTACACCACTAAATCCATAGCAGCAGTTTACACAGATGCGACTGAGTGCTCTCTCTTCTGAGTAAAATCCTCCTTGGAGTATGACCCACGAGGCACTTTCTACCCCATGATTCACTGACAAGTGTTGCCCTTTTTTAGCTTCCCTGAAATACACCAGGATTAGAAGACCATGGCTGAAATCTGGGAATCTACAGAGACAAAAGAACACGTTTACTTACCTGCCCATAAAATGCAACACGGTAATATCGCCCGAAGAGACGTTTCTCAGAATTTACTACTTCTGCAACCTTCAGGTATGAGCGATGGATGTCATAGTATAAATCAGACAGTCTCTACATTAAGAAACAAGGAGAGTGAGGGGAAGTGAGAGAGCACAAGTACTTTGGGAAATGACACAAGCTCTACGCAAGCATGGCTTGTCTTAAACAGATAACCAAACCTTTGCAAAGATGGCTGCACATGTGTCCTGGTTTCAGCTGGGATAGAGTTAATTTTCTTCCTACTAGCAGGCATAGTGCTGTGTTTTGGATTTAGTAGGAGAAGAATGTTGATAACACACTGATGTTTTTAGTTGTTGCTAAGTACTGCTTATGCTAGTCAAGGACTTTTCAGCTTCCCATGCTCTGCCAGGTGCACAAGAAACTGGGAGGGGGCACAGCCAGAATAGTTGATCCAAACTGCCCAAAGGGCTATTCCATACCATATGATGTCATGCTCAGTACATAAACTGCGGGGGGTTGGCCGGGGAGCAGTGATCGCTGCTCGGGAACTGTCTGAGTATCGGTCAGTGGGTGGTGAGCAATTGCATTGTACATCACTTGCTTTGTATATTGTTGTTATTATTATCATTATTATATTGTTATTATTATCATTACTATTTTACTTTATTTCAATTAGGAAACTGTTCTTATCTCAAACCAGGAGTTTTTCTCACTCCTACTCCTCCAATTCTCTCCCCCATCCCATCGGGGTAGGGGGAGTGAGCAAGCGGCTGCGTGGTGCTTGGTTGCTGGCTGGGGCTAAACCATGACAACATGCTAAGGTTTAACCTTGTCAGCAGTCACTAAAGATGCTCTTCAAGGTTTCTGTCATCCTCTGAGCACATAGTTTTGTGGCAGTGGGTGCCTTTGTGTACAGGGTCACACAGGAAGGCAAGCATCCCACCATTGGGCAGCAGTAGGGACCTACTAAGAGGTCAGAGAGAACCCGAGTGTCCTATCTGCAGGTGCGAGCAGGGTGCCAATAACTCCAATCAGCTCCCAACCCCATACAAAGATATGCTATCCACAGTTACCACTAAAAAGCACTCTCTTGGGACAGTGAACCAAAATTTCCACTAAGTTTAAATCTGAGTATCTACTTCCTCAGTGTGCAGTTTATAGCTACCTACCTGTTTGCTTTTTTTTTTAATTTAAAACTAGAAAAAAATCAGTAAATGAGACTATCATCTGGTTATCCATTATGTATTGAAATTGCCAAGTAAATAAGAAACCTTGGAACTGTGAAGAGATCGCACAATTTATCAGAAGTTTCTAAACTTAAATACAATGCAAATGTGCTTTTGGTTTAAAAAAACATGTAGAAATTCACATCCACTGGCTAAGACAAGAGGTTTGTTTGAAAGTTTTTGTTCATTCACTGTTGTACTGATGCTGAAAAGAGGAAGGTAAGGCACCAGAGTTTTTCACTTACTCACAGCACAAAGCATTAAAAGGAGAAATTACAGACAGGAAGGAAAAAATCATTCCTTTTAAAGAAAGCACTTTTTTCTTTCCTAAAAATTTTGATCTTTACTGCTGTCTTAAGATAATTTAAAAAAAAATACAAACCAACTTACTTTAAAGTCCCTCTGCTTCTCAAAAACAGCAATGATAGGCTTGTTAACCTCAGCAATAAGCTCATATCTCTCAGACTTCCACAGGTATTCAACACACAACTCCAGCTGCTCCACAAGAACATTCTGCAATTCCACAAATACAAATAGTTCAGTGATGTGACAGCTGGTGGCATTTAATTAACAGCAGTGCAGCAAAAGGACATACCCGCTATTTCATTTTTGTTCTGTATCTTCTATACTAAGGTTTATTTCAATGACATAATGTTTAATCAGGTATTGGTGACCTAGCTCTTCTTTAGATACAAACCCTGAAATAACAGTAACATGAAAATACTCAAATACTATTTGATGTCTCATTCAGAAGAATGGGTTTGCTTCATGGGCTCCCCCCTGCCCTAACTTCCAGCTCTGGTACTTCATATTTTGGTTAGCTAAACACCTACCCTGTCTATATAGTATAACAGCTATGACATTTCACTCAAAAGCTGTGCGCCTTTTTATACTGTGCGAGCTACACTCTCACTATAATTTGCAGTAGCATGCAAAGGCATCCATTAGAAATAACACCCTCTGTTAACATAGAACAAGTATATAAATGTTAATGCTGCTGACCTCATTATAAGGAGTATCTTGCATGCCAGAGTCTTCCTTCATAGCACCTTCTTCTTTAATGTTGGGGGTAATGCTCAGAAAAGCAGGCCATCCCATGGAAAATAAGCCTTGAAGTGCAAGTCATAACAATGTAAATTAATGACTGAATAACCAGATAATTAAAAAAAAATATTGGATGCCATTAAAACAGAGAGATTTTAGTTGACTGGTTTAGTTAGTTTTTTCACAGTCTAAGTGATGAGAAGCACAAATGGAACTGACTGAGTTTATGAGACTATTACACATTTTCTCAATGATATAAATCCACTTATCCAGGCAAAGGGTGTAACATTTTCCTGATGCAATCTTATTCCTCTCTTTGGCATTTTGGTTCATTAGCTGTACAGTGCTGGCAGTCCTTGTAAAACTACATGTGCGACAGTCATCTACACAGGAACTGTCATTGCAGGCTGAGGTGAGACAATTTATACTCTGAAGCCAGTGCTGTGACTCCTGGTCTGACCTACAGACACTTAACGCTACATGCTGGGACCTGCACTCGTCCCACCCGTCAGGTTTCCTAAGCGAGAGGGGCACAGTGGCCCCAAGCTCACTGCAGCTGAGACGGCTGCTCTGGAGTGTTCAAAAAACGGGTAGATGTGGCACTTTGGGACATGGTTTAGTCTAGTCTACCCTTGATTGGCTTAGAGTAGACTTGGTAGTGTAGGTTAATGGTTGGACTGGATGATCTTAAAGGTCTTTTCCAACCTAAACGATCCTATGATTCTATGGAGCATGGTGTGCCTTTGTTGGGCTCAAGGACACCCTGGCAGCAGCTCTCCTTACCCTGCCCAGGGTCAGCAGGGCGACCGCAGCCCTAACCGAGGAACTTTCTTGTAGAAAGCTCAGGCCGATGGCAGAAGCTGCTGATGGGAAGGCTCACAAGGATTAAAACCGAGCTTACATTTAGTATTTGCTAAGCTGAGGCCTTAGTGCCGTGGTTGCAGAAGGAACAACTTACACAGGCGTTGCACATTACACATCAGGCAGAGTTTGACCCACAAAGATTTTACTACCACTCTTGAACGGTGAAGGTAAACCTGCCAGTGGAGGCTTAATGAACTCCTGACATGGTTTGTGTCCAATTTAAAAAAATGCTAGTAAGGCACAATTAAAAAGCTAACCTTTACACATTGAGACAGAGGGGCTCCTTCCCCTCTGTCAAGTTCCGAAAATCATTTAAGCATAAGTTGAAAATGACCCACAAGTTCTTCACTCCACCTACTGTGATCTGTTATTCACGCAAAATATTCTAGCACTAGTGAACCATCTCTGAAATACTGCTCTTCACAGAAAGCTTCCTTCTAAAAGGATGCAGTTTTTCATCTCACCCCCACACACTTCGAAGTGTATCAGAGAACCATGGTCTTTCAAAACTAACAGTTTTCTCTTCCCCACATATTTGCCCTTGCCTCCAGAAATTGCTCTTTGTGAAAATTGCTAAAATATCTCATGCTGAGAACTACTTTGAAATATACATTTCATAAACTAAATAACCACTGGGATAGAAGCATTTAATAATATAAGCCAGCACTTTATTTCTCTAATAAGCATCACAGATTAAAAAAAAAAAAATCTTTATCTATACTAAGTTACATATGGATAACCAGATACTAATTTCACCCCCGTGCCCTCCCAGCTTTGGCTAGCCAAGGAATTGGACATGGATTTGCGTGCTAAACACCAATTGACCTGAGAGGGATTTCTGTTGCCAATGAAGGGCAGACTGCTCTCTTGCTGAAAAAGCCCTTAACCAGAGACATTCTAAGCAATTCATCAAACCAGCCAAAGAGCACCAGGAAAGTAACACGTAACGTTTCTGACGTTACTTGCTTGCTGTTACAGCCATCGACATGCACTATAAATATTTTCGCTTTGGTAGATATTTTTCCAGATCAACTGGAGAACAGTAATTTGATTTCCTAATTATGTTATTTGACCCATAAACAGGCATGGTTAGAGCACTCACTTCCTCCATTGTGAGTTGTTAGTAACACATTACTATCAGAGACTTGACCATCTTCCAGGAGCATACGTGAGGTACAAATCTTTTCCATTTTCCAGTAACCTATGATAGTGTAAGATGGTATTAGTATACTGCTACTGGTATTTGTTAATACATGCATATTTAATAACAACAGACTAACAAGTGAAGCATTCTCTTTTAGCACTAGCTTAACTAAATATTTAATTAACCCTTTTTACACAAAACACACACTTTCACTGTTCCAGTGCTAAGACTAGCATTTACAGTATATTTTAAAAATAAAAATATTTGGGAAGAATTCAAGCAGCTTTAAGAATACTTTATATATAAGGAAGGAAAGCAGGAGAGACAAAAATTATTTTCAACAATAATGTTTATAGATACATAATTGGTTTTGAATACATTGATCTTACCCTTTCTTTTCAGGTACTCCGCAATGAGAGCGGCGATATGAATATAGCACATCGCGGCCTGTAACAAGAGACCAAGATACATGTATACATTAAAGTACACTGTATGACTTACAGCATGCATGTGATAAGGAGCACATACTTTCATCACTGTCAAGTCATGCTGCAGAAAAGGGAAGACAAAATTAATACAACAATTTAAGAAAATAAAGGATTAAATTATGAACTCCTTCTTGAGTGTTAACTTCACTAGGTGTCTTAGGTAAAAGCATAGATTTGCTCAAGAAAACCATTAAGATTACTTAGTAAATAAGATATTCCTGGGTTATGCACTGGACTTTTGCATCACCCATTTAGTTTTTGATAAGGACATATTACAAACAAAGCTCCTGTCCTATGCCATAGTGGGGGAGAAGAAAATCCTTCACGTAAGTTATACACTGCTCATAACCTCATCTACACTACACCTACTGTGCCTGTTAGGGTTAAGCAGCAGAGATGCAAACGCGGTACTGACCACAGCTTCCCCATCAGACATTTTCAAGTCTTGCTCAAGCACATATCAGGTAGTCACGATTAGGCAAACTGGGATAATGAGAACATCACATCTCTAGGTGTTTTTCAAACCTGTCTTCCTCTAATTTCAAGTATAAGTCATGCCCATTTTTAAAAAGGGAAAAAAGGAGGACCCTGGGACTACCAACCTCACCTCTGGAACTGGAAAGATCATGGAGCAGATCCTCCTAGAATATATGCTCAAGCACATGGAAGACAGGGAGGTGATTCGAGACAGCCAGCACAGCTTCACCAAGGGCAAGTCCTGCCTGACCAACCTAGTGGCTTTCTATGAAGGAGCGACTGCATCAGTGGACAAGGGAAAAGCAATGGATGTCATCTGTTTGGACTTCTGTAAAGCCTTCAGCACAGTCGCCCACAACATCCTTCTCTCTAAATTGGAGAGATATGGGTTTGATGGGTGGACTGTTCAGTGGATGAGGAATTGGCTGGATGGTCGCATCCAGAGGGTCGTGGTCAATGGCTTAATGTCCACATGGAGACCGGTGACAAGTGGAGTCCCTCAGGGGTCCATACTGGGACCAGTGCTGTTTAATATCTTCATCAATGACATAGACAGTGGGATCGAGTGCACCCTCAGCAAAATTTGCAGACAACACCAAGCTGAGTGGTGCGGTTGACACACCAGAAGGACGAGATGTCATCCAAAGGGACTTGGACAAGCTGGAGAGGTGGGCCTGTGTGAACCTCATGAGGTTCAACAAGGCCAAGTGCAAGGTCCTGCACCTGGGACGGGGCAACCCCCGATATCAGTACAGGCTGGGGGATGAAGGCATTGAGAGCAGCCCTGCGGAGGAGGACCTGGGGGTACTGGGGGATGAAAAGCTGGACATGAGCCGGCAATGTGCGCTTGCAGCCCAGAAAGCCAACCGTATCCTGGGCTGCATCAAAAGAAGCGTGGCCAGCAGGTCGAGGGAGGTGATTCT